TTATTTTTATAAGAGGTTTGACAATCATGATTTCTCAGTTGAATGTGATATGGTGCTTGATAGTATTGCTATTGATGATACTGATAGGCTAGAGATTGACCCTAAATCTATCAACAAGGTTCTTAAGCAAATCAATGTCAATAAGGCCACAGGTCCAGATGGCATCTCTGCTTTTCTATTAAGAATATGTGCAGATGAACTGACACCTGCCTGGTGCCCCATTTTCCAGAGGTCCCTGCATTCTCACACTGTACCGACACAATGGAAAAAGGCAATTATTACACCTGTCCCTAAGAAACCCTGCCCGCAGGAAAATAACGATTTTAGACCTATTGCCTTAACTTCTGTTGTGATGAAGTGCATGGAAAAGCTCATTATGAGCAAACTACAGCTTGATGTAGGCCCACAGTTAGATCCCTACCTGTTTGCATATAAACACCAGAGAGGCACTGATGCTGCAATCAACAGTATAGTGCACCTATAGTGACTAAACATCTTGAGAATTCTAAGGCCTATGCCAGACTGTTGTTTGTAGATTTTACTTCAGCCTTTAACACTCTGCAGCCTCATGTTCTCTTGAAAACACTGCAGCGGATGAGTGTCAGCCCCTTTATTATTAAGTGGTTCCACTCATTTCTGACTAATCGTAGTGAGCAGGTCAGGGTGAATAGGACGTTGTCTGAACCTTTGACCATCAGCACTGGTGCTCCTCAGGGGTGTGTTAGTTCCCCAGTACTGTTCACACTGTACACTAGTGAATGTACATGTAGTACTGCTAACAATTACATGATTAGTTCTCTGATGATACAGTTATCATGGGTATCATGTTAGATGCATCAGATTCTGTTGCATATAAACATGAGGTTCAGAACTTTGTTCAGTGGTGCGACAAACATTCTCTCATCATCAACACTAAGAAAACATTTGAGATGGTGTTTGATCCCAAATCCATTGGAGACCACTTACCAGTGGCCATCAATGACCAGAACATAGTCCAGGTTGATTCTTACAGATATCTGGGCATACACATTGATAACAAGCTGACATGGAGTGTCCAGGTAGAAAACATCTGTACTAAGGTTCAACAGCAACTACACTTTCTACGTAGGCTGAGGGTCTTTGGTGTTAACCAGAGATTGTTGCTTCTCTTCTATTATGCTGTAATTGAGAGCCTTCTGCGGTATGGCATCTCTGCCTGGTTTGGCAATCTCAGTGTACAGCTGAAAGCACAGATTACATGGTTAACACAGAGAGCCATGAAAATCATGGTAGTTAAGCAGCATCCCACACTTCAGGCTGTCTTTGCTGAAACCATCATCAGACGGGCCCGGAAAATTATTTCAGATACCACCCATGTCCTCCACCCTGAGTATCAGCCTCTTCCCTCAGGAAGACACTTTAGACTTCCCCAGTGCAGGCTTAACCGCTTTTAAAAATTCCTTCGTCCCTCTGTCCATCAAAGCTTTAAATGACAACTCAGCCAGGGGTTTGCCCCCATAACGGTGTTTTAATTGTAATGATAACGATTTTCAATTGAGACCTAAAAATGGCTGTCCACCAACGTTTACCATCCAACCTGACAGAACTGGAGAGGATCTGCAAGGAGGAATGGCAGAGGATCCCCTGAAAAACTTGTTGCATCTTTCCCAAAAAGACTCATGGCTATATTAGATCACTAAATACGGCTATATTAGCTACTAAATACTGAGCAAAGGGTCTGAATACTTAGGACCATGTGATATTTCAGTTTTTCTTTTTTAATAAATCTGCAAAAATGTCAACAATTCTGTGTTTTTCTGTCAATATGGGGTGCTGTGTGTACATTAATGAGGAAAAAAAATTAACTTAAATGATTTTAGCAAATGGCTGCAATATAACAAAGAGTGAAAAATTGAAGGGGGTCTGAATACTTTCCGTACCCACTGTATATATATATATTTTTTTTTTCTTTTTTCTTTATTGAATCTTATTATTATGACGATTACAGGTGTGTTGTATGATGTAGTGTGCAACTGGTTGGTTGATAGCAGTTTGTGTATGTGTTGTAGGTATTGTGTGTGTGTGTGTGCATGCGTGTGTGTGTATTGTATTATGTTACTTATTTAAGCAGCGGTTACTGGATTGTATGTGTCCAAGACACTTTTCCATCGGGACAATAAAAGTCTATCTAATCTAATCTAATGTGGACTAAGTGCTATGGCCAGATGCAGCTAGGCGAAAGGATAATGTTTAGGGGGGTTTTTTTAATGCTTTTTTCTCCACAAAAGTTTGTTGTTGTTTATGCACTATATATTCCATTACAGTTTTTCTGAATTGCTAAAACACATTTCTTGAGACCATCACTCATTTTCTCAAAACCTTAAACACAAATCCAAATACTCAAACTAAATTCACAAAACCTCTGACTCTTCCATCAAAATCAAACAATCACTGCAAAACCATTTCACTGGGGCTCGCAGATCACACACACATGAGTCAATAAAAGAAACACTACAGAGCATTCATTAGACACTACAGAGAACAATGGAGAACACAGCATCCAGAACATTACAGAAAAAGTATATTGTATTGAGTAAACAAGTTTGCAATTCTGTAAAAAATTATAGTAATTGCAACTGAGTAAGGTGGATATATTGTATAGGCCTACTGTATGCACTGCAATAATAGTATTGTGCTGAATATTGAATAGTACTGAATGTTTGTATATATTCAGCACTTGGATACTGCAGAAATACTGCAGTCCAACTGAAAGGCCAAAAAGGTCAAATAAAACTCTAAATGAATAGCATGTTACAGTACACTCAAATACTATAAGTTGTGCAAGTGTAAAATCAGGGTCAATGAGTGATTCATTCTGTTTCAGCATCATGTCTTTGTGCCTGAGGACTTTGTCCATATCACAAGTAATGTTGTCTTTTTTGCTAGACAAAGAGAAAACACCCTCTGGTCTGACAGATCCAGCCTTGATAACACTCTCTAAACCTTACTCTTTCTCTCATCTTCTTCCTCATTCTCCACTTCTTACATGTACTCTTCCTCTCCTTCTCATATTGTTTCTATTTATTGTTCGTATCATCATTCAGTCACCTGTGCCACTTGTGCACTCTGAACTGACTCATATTTTGTACAGTTGGTTTGATCACAAAGAAACAAGTGTGAACAATTTTGAATCGTGTGTAAACAATGACAACTGTGCTTTGGTTGCGTTTAACTTTTGCCGCTTGTGTTTAGCATTTTGTAACAAATGCATCACAGTGTGATAAGTGTTTAAGTGAATGAGAATGTGTTTAGAGTTTTGCAAAAAGAGTGCATGAGATTTGCAAATAGAGCCTAACTGCCTGAACGTGTTTAAGGTTTAGCAGAAAGAGTGCTTTATTCAACAAACTGGTTTAAGCTAGTGAGAATTTGGTTCAGAGATTGGGGTTTAGTGTTTTAGCAATTCAGAAAAACTTAACTGCTCGAATGTGTTTAAGGTTTAGCAGAAAGTGAACGGGACTAATAGATCGGTAGGGGTGTTGATGCTAATCCACCATGGGACTCGGGTAAGAAGTGCAACAGGAGACAGGGCACTGTTCAACTCTTTATCTGAAGTAATTTACATTTAGCAGATGCAAACTGATGCTGGTTTTATTCTGTTTATTTCAGAAAGACCACATTTACAGTTTCTCAAATGCTAAAACACATTTCACAAACGTTTCCTCCATGTTCCCCAGTGTCTAAACACAACACCCCGTTCTAAAGCTACATAAACACAACCACACCTTCTCACTTCAAAACTCAAACTTTCACACCAAAATAGCAGCTCGAAGCGTTCAAAAATGTAAACGCTATACACATTACACACTACAGCAAAACAATTGAAAACACAATGCTCAATTTGTGAGAAGGTTCTGTGTTTCATAACTGCAGTAATGGATGTTCTTAGATCTCTGCAGAGGATTAGGCATTTAGATTTGTGAGTTTCATATGAAGAGTATAAATCTATAGTAAATTCTGCATGTACACTACTGTAACAACTCAATGCAAAAACAGAATCTATTGCACACAACAGTACTCTTGAAAACATGATCAGGGTGTGAAGTTTTTTTATTTACTTTATTCACACCACAATCACTGTGCGGCATCA